TTCTATAAAAATAGAACAGATATATATCAGTTCTTTTAACGTAAATTATGGTTATTCTTTTGGTCAGAGCGCCCTCTAGTATATATTTGTGGTCCACTTCACAGTCTTTCGATTCGACTGCCCTCAATGCACTATATACCATGTGTTACAGCGGCGTGAACGCCTTGGCAGTCGATAGTGAACTTACGAGTAACCATGGGTAGAATGGACAACTGCTCACACCACACTGAAGATTTACCCCAAATACTTTTATCTACTTTTCAGTACACTAGTAAAAAACAATACATACACCGACTGTTTAGTAGATTACGTAATACGTGTTTATTCAAATAAATTGCTCAGCATATACTCCTATCGATTTTAATTTGCTATAATATATAGACTATTATAATTTGTGAATGTATAACAAAAATAAACAAGACCAAAATAGTGGCAATTTTTCACACCACGTGGTAAATAAAGTTTAGCATTAACATTTAAGTATTCAAAAAAGTAGTTTATATACAAATAGTAATTGGAAACGATTCTACCGACATTCTTAAAAACAATATGTTAAATATATGAATTGTTATTAATTCACATACATCGGAAAATATATTTTTCAACAAGATATTTGCATTAGGTGAAAACAAATTTTGCTTCCTTGCTGGTTGTTATATTTATGTATTCATATGCAGTCGAATATGTGTTGTCTCTGCCTTTACCATTCCCACCCAGACACAAGTAGAACATATTAGAGAAGCAATACAATAAATAAAACGTTAAGTGCCGTGACTGATGTGAATGTTTGTATACAACTCAATTCTGGAATTATTACAATGATTATAGCGCTGGTTTAGTATTACCACCATGATCTGCCCCTACCATTGCTTGATCTTTTTCTCATCAATAGAATCATTGCAAGTTTAGCGCTGATTTTCTACTGCCACCATAATCTGCCTCTTACATTGCTTGCTCGTCCCCCCATCACTGTAATCAACACGAACTGTAGCGCTGTTCATTTTACGTTTTTACAGGGAGAATTGTTGATTTTAGAAATATTGATTTTCGGTGTACTGAAACGTTTAGAACGTTCGACATCTGTCCTACCTTCCGTTTTGTTGACATCAGATCACGCAATATGCGCATGCACACAAACTACAAACGCTAAGGGAAACGGGAATTGTAGCGCTGGTTGCTACTACTACTACTTGATCTGTCCCGCATCCCTGTAATCATTACACTAAGTATGACTAATTGCTACTACTACCACCATGATATTCTGCCCTTTATATTGCTTGATCCTCTACTCATCACTGGAATCATTAGACTAAATGTAGCTCTGGTTGCTACTACCACCATAATCTGCACGTAACATCGCTTGATCCGTCTCTCGTCACTGAAATCATTACACTAATTATAGCACTAGTTGCAACTACCACCATAATCTGCCCCATTATATAGGCTGATCCTCCGCTCATCAATGTAATCAATACACTAATTGTAGCGCTGGTTGCTATTACCACAATAATCTGCCTATTACATTGCTCGACCCCCCCCCCCATCACTGTAATTTTTACACTAATTATAGCGCTGGTTTGCTACTACTACAATAGTCTGCCAGTTACATTGCTGTATTCTATTCTCCTCACTGCAATTAATGCAATAATTGTAGCTCTGGTTTCCTACTACAAACGTAATATGCCCCCTGCATTGCATTATCATTGTTTTTTATGTGTAATGACGTGGACGGTGTAAGTAAAATAGAAAGTTAAATATAAGGAAATAAGTAATTAACTATAGATCTTACATTCAGCACATTTTTGTTCACGATTCTCAAGTCTGCGCTTTATTGAGTTCACACTACTAAATATTGTCTTCAGTGGCTCAATACTATTCAGCAAAGACGTACAGAAACATTAATTGTCCGTTTGCAAGTTATTTATGTACATTTCCATCGGACGAAAAGTCAGTAATTTCCTGTATCACTTACGCTATTTTTTTTATAAATCTGCTAAATTATGCTAAAATATTGAATTGGATTGGATTATCATGACTCTTACACACATCATGTTGATTGGTCCAGAATAGAAAACGCAATTTTGATGACATGTACATTTAGTGCACAATACCGTGTTATATGCCATTT